CAATTGCTCTCCCCTGAGACGAAGTGTGATATCTTTCCTTGTTCATTTTCTGATCATGACTTTGTCTCCCTTGTTTTTGACTTTCCTAGTAGCATAAAACGCGGTCCTGGTGTATAAAATTTTAACAACTCCCTTTTGAAAGACAAAGATTTCTGTATTGCTATAGAAAATTTAATCAATGATCACATACGTTTCTTACATGCTTTCGTTTACATCCAGGATTGGTGGGAGTATCTAAAACGATACGTTAAGGAAGAAGCGATCTCCTTTTCCCGTAAGAAACGGAGACGGTTACAAAGAGATGAAGTTTTCTTAACCAATAAATTAATTCGACTTCGGCAACGTCTAGTTAATGGCGACACAACCGTCTCCGATTTTATATCCAATACGGAAAGTCGCCTGAAAGCTCTCCGTACCAAAAAAGCAGAAGGAATTATGATTCGTAGTCGTGCCAAATGGTTAGAAGAGGGCGAACGCCCCAGCCGATATTTTTTTAATTTACAGCGAAGTAAAACGCAAAGATCGCACATCTCCTCAGTGTACGATTCAGACGGAAATGAGGTCTTCTCTCAAGAGGAAATTGCGAAAGCGCATGTAGATTTTTACTCTCGACTCTTTTCCGAAGAGCCGGTAGATGTCGCGATGCAAACCGATCTTTTATCTTCCTTGTCTCGTCAACTCACGTCCGATCAGGCATCTTCTTGCGAAGGTGACTCGACGCTCGAGGAAATTACTGTCGCTCTGAATAAAATGAACACAAACAAAGCTCCTGGCCCTGACGGCCTTTCAATGAGTTTTACTCAAAGTTCTGTGACCGTTTGGGTCCATATCTGTGCCAGGTATTCAATGCATGCTCTCAAGCTGGAGAGATGTGCGAGTCTATGAAAACTAGTAATACTCGAGTCATTTTCAAGAAAGGGGATCGCAAAGATCTTAAAAATTGGAGACCAATTTCCTTACTAAATGTCGATTATAAGATATGTTCCAAGTCTCTTTCTCTCCGTCTCTCTGAAGTTTTACGGTTTATCGTTGATCCTGATCAAACCTGTTCTGTGCCCGGTCGGAAAATGACGTCAAACCTACACATATTGCGGGATATTTTAGACTATATTCAGCGCACTAACGAAACTGGCATTCTACTCAGCCTCGATCAAGAGAAAGCCTTCGATCGAGTTAATCGCACCTTTTTATTGAATCTATTTAACCGTTTTGGTTTTGGTCCATCATTCTGCCAATGGGTTAGCACACTATATAATGGTGCTAACATGCAAGTCATCGTTAATGAATGGTTAACTGAAGCGATACCTTTTTCTCGCGGAGTGAGACAAGGGGATTCCCTTTCCCCTTTGTTGTATATTTTATGTGTTGAAACTCTCGCCTGTAAAATCCGAAACAATCCCGCCATAGAAGGCTTTCTCTTACCCGGCGCGCGCGGAATAAGATATAAAGTTGGGGTATATGCTGATGATACGACCTGCATTGTTAAATATACTCGTTCGTTGGCATCTCTCTTTGATACCATTAATATTTATGAACGCGGTTCTGGAGCGCGCCAAAATGTCGCCAAAGCGGAGGCCGTGTGGTTGGGTGCGTGGCGTACACGAAGCGATCAACCATATGGCCTCTGGTGGTTGACCAAAATGAAAATCCTAGGAGTCGTTTTCGGCAATGATACTGAAGTGGATAATTGGCAACCAAAACTTGAGAAGTTGGAAAAACATCTTAATCTCTGCAAATCTCGTTCTCTCTCGCTCGTTGGCAAATCTCTTCTGGTCAATGTCTTAGGAATCAGTAAACTACTTTATCTGTCCGGTTCTGTGCGTCCCTCGATGGGTTGTTTGCAAAGTAAATTCGCTAATTTGCCCTTTTGTTTGGGGCTCTCGTACTGAGACAGTAAGTCGAATGAACTGCCACCAGCCTTTTAAAAAAGGTGGCCTGGGAATTTTCAATTTCCAAATCAAAGGTGACTCCTTAAAGCTAGCCTCTCTAGTGTCTAATCTCTCTTTACCCCGAATCAAAGTCCTTTTACGTAACCAAATACTTACTAGGATTTACGCTTGCTTCTTTTCGGCCGGTGTGGCATTCTCTTCGCGACAATTCCACTCCGAGTTCGCATGACTCTACACCATATTACGAGAAATGTTTTTCGGCGCTTACCACTCTTCGCGGGATTGTGTCCCGCAAGGAGTGGCAGACTTCGATTTTACCTCTAAGAAATGCTATCGGGCCTTGTTAAGAGAGAATTCTGCTTCCCCGATTCTTCACCGTTTCTGGCCCCCCTTTCTTCCTATCGGTTTCAAACTTGACAATCTCTGGAAATTGGTTCGAGATGACTTTTCTGAAAACTACAAGAATGATGTCTTGTGGTCAATTGTCCTTCGAGCCATTAAAGTCCGCGATTCTCTAAAACATTGGGGCTATATTGATTCTGATAAAATGTGCCTACTGCTCTCGAAAAGAAACAATTGATCACTGTTTTCTTAATTGTTCCCGTGCTAAAAAAGTGTGGTCGTATTTTTCTCCTGTGATCTCCTCTCTCCTTGGTAATTTCTTCTCTCTTGTACTTCTGTTTTCTTCTTTCAGTGGGCTCCAGCCAGCCCAAAAAATGCGCGACTGGCCCGTTTTCTCATCAAAACGATCTTGTATGGCATTTGGGAAGTTTCGTAATAATGCTACTATTCGCAATGGAAAGGAAAATCATGAGGCTATAATCCGTTATATCCTCAATGACATCAAGAAGAGAATTCTCTGTGACCACTTTCGTCTCCTTTTATCTGACGTTAAAAATTTGTGGGAAGCTCCAGCATTGTGTCAAGTAGACAATACTACTATTAAAATTCTCGTGTAAATAATTAATAGTTGCTTTAGTAACTAATCACTTCATTAGTTTATTAGTAGCATTAATATTGTATTCCTAGAACATTACATTTATTGAATAGACCATTAGCATCACTACATTAGTTAACACTAAATAGATAAATATTAGCTCTACCATTCTTTGATTATTAGCTAGCCTATTAGCCGCACTTTACATTTATGGAATATTAANATTTGCCCACATATATATATATGTTGCAATTGCGCATGCTCGCTAGTTTACTCTAGTTTAAGCACTCTGGCATGGCTTAGACAATACCACAAAGGTTGGGTCGTTTGGGGTGACCGTCTCGGTTCTCCCCCATCCTAGCAGCAGTACTGCACTGAAGAGGCCCAGAAGGCCGAAACAGTACTGTCTGCAGTTAGTTATACACAGACCATATGTTGTTCGATCGAGTAAATTTAAACCACATGCTTCCGTGTGGTTGGAAGATGAAAGAAGCTATGTTTTGTTATTTCTTACCTTAGAGTATTTAGCTTTGAGTTCTTTGTTTCTAAGTAGCATCTCGAGGACTTCATTGTTTTCTGCAGTCAGTTTCTCAAACTGATCCCATCTTCTAGAGGTAAGTGGCCTCGGATACTTTTTCATCCATCCTCCACAAGCATACTGATAGAAATCCCTACAAGGGTCTACTGACGGGTCTACTGAGTTCAGCAAATCTTGAAGGGAATCAATCAGTAAACATATATCCTTCAGAAATGTCTTTAAGGAAGGTGCTGCACGTAGGCAAGGGGCAGAATTTGCTCGACTGAGAAAAAGTCTTCATCACCTGCTTTCAATAATATTAAGAGTGTGAAATTCATTGAATTATGTGTGTTAAAACAAATGCAACTTATTGCGTGGAAGTGCATGTCATCCTCCATGCTCCAAATCCAAAACAACAAATGATCGAATGGGAGATTTTATATTTTACGAGTTTTGAATATCGCTATTTTTCTCCAGCCAAAAAATTATTAATGAGAAAAAGCGTGGTGGTAGCAAACACAAAGCATACGACATTTTGAAATGCAAGAGATCGACATGTTACATGGATGTCAAAAGTCAGTTCCTCCAGAAATGTAAGAACGTGTCTCTGTAAGAATCAAACATCTTGGGAAATTAAAATTTTCAACCCCCCTTCAAGTTTGGTATGCAGTTAGGCACTCAGGGGGGATGCACAAAAATGCCCTTTCTAAGGTTGCAGCTCTCTTGTTGCCATGGTAACAACGGCTGCTTGTTCGAGGCCTGGTGCCTCATTTTCATACAAAAACATTGCAAAAAAAGTGTAAAATGTTTATTTCTCTATCTCAAGCTAAATACAACATTACAGATTGGTACTTCTAGCATACATAGTGACATCATTCGTCTTTACTTTGAGGCATTCAATTTTCCCTGGGAGGGAATATGAACACACCAATAGATTACTTATCTTGGTACAGTTACGGTCATTTTTGCTGTAGTGTAAAACAGGGAAAACGTTTGTCTAAATTTCTCCAAAAGTACACTGATTCTGGAACTGAAACTACGCACTTAGTTCGCACTTATATTCTACTTTTTAAATATGTGAAAATTTCTGCGGGCCGGCCTCTACTTTTCATGGTGGCAATTCGCGAACGAAGCTCAAAAATCAGATATTGCATAAATTGGCAATGTTTAAATGTAATGTTCTCAATAACAAACGTTTCAGACAAATGAAAAGTGCAAGACATTGAAAGAATGTTATCTTCTGAGCAATATCCCGAAAAGAAATCTCGCCTCTAGCTTTAATATTTTAAAAAAAATTGATCAACCTTCATGCAGGACTACCTGACGTAACTACAAACATGTACCTTAAATCGTATGCTACATAAAGTTAGCCAAGGTCATTATCCTGAATATTTTAGTTCATATTTTAAATATGTCAGATCTACACATGGTTATTGTACTAGATCTGCTATCTGCAATGACGTTCTAACACCATCTTATAAAAGAAACTCAGGGCTTAGAACTTTCCACTCAAGTGCATGTTGGCTATGGAATAAACTAGGAAACTCAAATTTTAAGATAACGTTACTGAAAAATTTTATTAAAGAAAATACCTCGAGAGAGCATTTTAAGATCAGTAGGACAATTTTTAATCTTATGAATTTTTTATTAGGTATTTTTATATTTAGTAGGATTTGTTGGGGGCCATTATGTAAACTACCGGGTAACCGGTAATAATGTATTTTACCCTCGGTAAATAAAGTGTTTGTTTGTTGTTTGTTTGTGTGCATATCATCCAGATTCCGAGTACTGCACCTTCTTTTATGAGAATTTGAGTAATCCGAAATCCTCTGACGATACACCGTTATACTTGTCTGTTATTTGAAACATGTTAAAGTTGGCTGATCTACACGAAACTATGGTGACACCGGTCATTTGTTATGAACATGTTCGTTATCACGATGGCGTGACATACGCTGGATTTCTCTATGCAGTTTCCATCAGGTCGCTCCAAAGAAGACGATAATTGGACATTTTTAGATATTTCAGCAGATTTCCGCGCATTTTGAAGTAAAAACAACCAAAAAAAAAGAGGAAAACCTTCATTGAACGTTCATAAACACTGAGAGGGAGAGTATAAATCGCAACTTGTCAGCGGTAGTTAACAAATGGTAAACACCACAGCGTACACTATTGAGTTATGGATACACGCGGGAGGTTGCTAAGCACGAAAGAAACGTAAGAGTCGCTCTCGGCTATCGCCTCGAGCGACTCTAGCTTCTTGAGTGCTTAGCAAACCTCCCAAGTGCATCCATAACTCAATAGTGTACGCTGTGGTGTTGACCATTTGTTTTATAACATAACATTGATATATGTCTAGCCCTTGATCAAATAAAACAAAGTTGAAATAAAAGATTCAATGAAATCATAATGTCATAATTCCACCTTTCAAACTACTCATCATCCACACGCAAAGCGCAACTCGTAACTGGAATGAAACTTCCCATGGTTGATATGTAATCTGGATTGCTTCAGGTTCCTCAGGAGAAAGAACATTGATTTCATCACGATTATTTTCCACAATGTTTTTCTTGGATATCTTTTATAAGCTTACAGAAAGATGAATATAACGCAATCTTCCGATTGTTTCCTTACTCGGAACTGGTCAGCTCAGGCCCCGTCCACACGAAGACGATTGTAAA